GTTAATGTTGGACTTGTGGGCTTGGGCAGCATTGGGTTGGGATGTTTTCGTGATGCACCTTTTGTTTACATAAAACTCTCTCTTATACGTGAGTCGCCGTGGATTTGTTTCTCCAAAGTACCTAGACTAATACAGGGATGTTCCATTGTCCATAGATAGGCTCTGGGTCTCTGCTCCAACCCTCCTCCATTCTCACCAATGAATTTGTTTGTTTACTGTTTGTTGTGAATCTTTTGATGCCTGTTGCCTCGTCTCGTTGACACCTCACGGTCGCACTGGCTGGTGTGCTTCTTTCATGTAGGCTTGTTGCTTCACTGTTGGATGGCCGCTTATTTAACTTCAAGCCTTTAAGACCCCAGACACTATCTTTTAGTAGCCGGGCACCATCCTCTGTCTTCACCACATCTGCTTACATACACATTTTGTCTTCAGCTATCGTGTGTGGGGGGAGGAGGGGAGAGTGAGCATCACAGAATGCCAATTTGTTAGAACAAAGTGTTGTTGAATTGAGGGAAGGCATGAACCGAGGCCCAAGCCCTGTCTGTAGCCTCAGTGAATTGCCTTATAAATATATGTACATAGTCCAATACCACTATTGCTATGGATTAATGTATTTGCATAAGTGCACACCTCTGTTCATCTCCCTATCTAGGCCTTTGCTTCCTAGAGCTTGCCTCTGTTTCCTTTTGCCTCCTCCTGCCCGCCATCACTTTCTCCCTTCTTCCACCTCTTAGTGCTTCCTCTCCACTAGCTTGGTGTTGCTCTAATACTCACAGGATCTCTACCTTCTCCTAGATGCTGGTTCTGCTTCCCCAGTTGTTCCCCTGTCCATGACGCTGTCCACTCACCACACCCTTCTCCCCACCTTCTTCTTCCCCCGCTACCTTCCGGGGCCATTGTCCCCATTGCCTGAGCTTCCCTCCCATGTCCAACCCATATAATTAGGCAAACCATCAATGTCCTAGTCCAAACAATAAAACATATGGTTGAAGAAAGAAAAGGAAAGAGAGAAAAAAGAAAGAAAGAAAAAGGGTCCCTATGGAACCCTCCCCTCTGGTCTTGAAGGAGATCGGGGGCTGTCCCTCCTAGCCCGAAGTCCATTCTTGGGGCTCCTCAGGGGCTCTGTGGCTTGACTGTACTCCAATTGTTGATCTGTTATGCTCCATTCCCACATTGTCTCCCCTCCATGTGTCCCCATTATTGGCCCATCTCTGTATGCTCTAGTTAGGGGACAACATGTCTTGAATTGTTCATAGTCCCATAGTCCTCTCTGTGCCTTAGCAGCTCCATGCAGGGGCCACATCCTGTGGGCGTGGTGTGCCTATGTGGAGTCTAAGCTAACTGCCCCTTTCTCTTTTTCCTTCTTGGTTTGCTTCCATCTGGGTATGGTAGGTCGGTTCCTTTCCCCCACCAGAAGGTCTCGGGGGTCAGGCTGGTTCTGCTTGGGGCTGACCCTGTAGTCCAGTCTGTTCATGCATTTCTCCATGTGTTACGTTGCCCTCCTGGTTTGCTGTGCCATGGTGGGGTCTCTATGCACGTTCCTATTCTGTGGGGACACAACCAATACTCTCCCCCTGGGTGGATTAGTGCCCTGTTCCCCCCATGTCATCATCTCAGTTTCTCCCCACCCCCATTCTCCCTCCTTCCCTCTTTCCCCTTCAGTTATGTTGGATTCACATGTATCTCCCTGGGTTTGGTCTGACCTCCCCGACTGCCTGTGCCTCCACCCCTATATTGTGAGATAAGTGTCTTTTCTTCTATTCCTGCCGTACTGATTATACTGACCTCAGGGGACTCATGTTATACTTGTCCTTTTGAGATTGGCTTACCTCACTTAACATAATTCCTTCCAACTCTTCCCATGAAATGACGTGTTTCTTGTGATCGTGCTTTTTAGTGCCACATAGTACTCCATTGTGTGTATGTGCCAGAGTTTACCAATCCACTAGTCTATCGATGGAAGTTTAGTTTGTTTCCAACTCTTTGCAATTGTGAATTGCACTGCAATAAACATTGGAGCTCAGATGACTGGTTGTGTTTTATTTCTTACCTCCTCTGGGTATATGCCCAGTAGAGGGATGGCTGGGTCATAAGGTACATCAATTTCCGTTTTCTTTAAGTATCGCCAAATTGCTTTCCTCAGTGCCTGTGTATATCTACACAACCACCAGCAGTGGAGGAGAGTTCCTATTTCACCACATCCCTTCCAACATTTGTTGCTCTCTGATTTTTCTGATTTGGGCTAACCTCAGGGGTGTTATATAGTGTTTCATGGTTGTTTTAATTTGCATTTCTCTAATGGCTAATGAACGGGAACACTTTCTCTTGTGTTTATTGGTCATAGGGGTCTCCTCCCTAATGAAATTTCTTTTGCATTCTTTTGACCACTTCCTTAAGGGGTTAACTGTTTTCCTCTTTTTGCAGGGCATGTTGTAGATTTTGGTAATAAGCCCTTTGTCTGATGTTTCAGTACTAAAAATCCTCTCACAGTCTGTGGGTTGCTTTGTTACCCTCTTGGTGAAGTCTTTCGAGGCACACAGGTGTTTTATTCTTATTAAATTCCATTTGTGGATTTCCAGTTCACTTGTGTGTGTACCCTCCCCTATTGCGGTGAGCCTATGAATTCCCTGGGCCAATGCTCTTAGGCTAGTCCCGATTCCTTCCTTGATGGGCCTGATGGTTTGAGATTTTACATCTAGGTCTGTGATCCACATTGAGTTTGTTCTTGTGCATGGGATGAGGTAAACATCTTGTTTTCATTTTTCTACACGTGGATATTCATTGTTTCCAGCATCACTTGTTAAAAAGGGCATCAGCCTCCCACTTGATGTTTTTGGGACCCTCATCGAAGATCAGTTGTCTACATGCTGGTGGTTTGACTTCTGGGCTTTCTATTCTTTTCCACTGGTCTGAATTTCTGTCATTGTGCTAGTACCACACTGTTTTGACCACTGTGGATGTGTAGTAGGTGTTAAAATCAGGTAAAGTGAGTCCCCCGACTTTGTCCTTCTTCTTGAGGAGTTCTCTGCTAATTCTGGACTTCTTCCCTCTCCATATGAAATTGGTGGTCAGTTTTTTCCCAATTCTTTGAAGAAGGTTGTTGATATTTGAATTGGAATAGCGTTGTTAAACTTATAAAGTGATTTGGGTAAGATTGACATCTTTATTATGTTGAGTCTTCCAATCCACTAGCATGGGATGTTCTTCCATTTGTGGTGGTCACTTTTGACTTCCTGTAGTAGGGTCTTATAGTTTTCCTTGTATAGGTCTTTAGGTTTTTTTGTTAAATACATTCCTAGGTATTTCAGTTTGTTCTGGGCTATCGTGAAGGGTCCTGCCTTCTTGATCTCCTCTTTCATGGTCTGTCCAATGTATATAGCAAACCTATCAACTTCTGTTTATTGATCTTGGATCCTACCACTCTTTCATATTCATCTATTCCTGTAAGTACTCTGTGGAGCTTTTGGGGTTTTCAATGTACAAGATCATGTCGTCTGTAAATAGCTATAGTTTCACCTCCTCCTCTCCCATTTGGATCCCTTTAATGTCCTTCTGCTGTCTTATGTTGTTAGCTAGGACCTCCAGTATGATATTGAATAGAAGTGGGGACAGGGGTCATCCTTGTCTGGTACTGTTTTTCAGTGGGATTGTTTTTGTCTTTTCTCCATTGACTATGATATTGGCTGTTGGTTTTTCATAGATAGCTTGTATTAGCTTGAGGAATTTACCTTCCAGTCCTGTCTTCGTGAGTGCCTTCATTAGGAATGGGTGTTGGAAGTTGTCAAATGCTTTTTCTGAGTTTATGGATATTATCATGTGGATCTTATACTTTTTCTTATCCTAATGCAATTTTTTATAAAAACTAAGTTTAGTATGTTTGGATGAATTTTGAAATTTAAATGTTACTTCCCTTTCAAGAACCATTAAAGATTGGCTACCGATCCGCAAGAATTATAGGTTGTTGGAAGCGAGTAAAGATATCCTTGGAACCGTTAAAGATATCCCTAGCATATAGGACAAATACCCAACAATGGAATGGAAGGATAAGGTCAGCAATAACGCTTATCTTAAGTAAATTCAAACATAAATTTGGAAGGATGTCTTTTCATAAGAGCAACACTGTAAGTGACTGATTCAGTCAGATGATCAGTTCCTGGCAATTGAAACATTATCTCCTTCCTCTCCTCAGGGAGGTTGGGGGGGAACACTCACAAATGGAATGAGGGTTTATCTTTTTGTGAGATTTAGAGGTGGCGCTGTGGATTAGGCATTGGACTACTTACCATAAGGTCAGGAGTTCAAACTCAGCAGCTACTCACACTTGGGAGAAAGATGAGGCTGTCAGCTCCCATCAAGATTTACAGCTTCAGCTGCCCTGTATAATGTCATGATGAGTCAAAATCAACTTGATAACAGGTGGAGTGATTTTTCTGGGATTTTTGGTTCTTAGTTGTTAGTTTCCATTGACTCAGTTCCCACTCATGGTGAGCTCAGAAGTGTGGAATAGACCTGCTCTGTGGGGTTTTCAAAGTGTGACCTATTGGAAGGAGATTGTCAGGCCTATCGTCTGAAGTACTTCTGGGTAGGTTCAAACCACCAACTTTCCAACTAATAACTGAGCACTTAGCCATTTTCCCCACCCAGAGATTATTAGTGTATATCTTCTAGAAAAGAAAGAAGTTTGCTTTCATGGTGCATTTGTTCTTAAGGACTTATTTATTATTCTAGAGCTGAACATTATATCCTCTTGTTGCTCAGTGACTGAAAAGCTGAAATGGCCTTTCTCTCTAGAACAAACTTGTTCCTTTTGTGTCTTTCTAAAAGTTTCAGTCTTCTCTGAATTATAAGTATTCTAAAAAATTCTGCAATCTTACTTTAAGTCTGTAGTTTGAAAACCTGAATGTACTATGAAATGAACTTTGCTTTACAGAGCATTTATCAGTTGTATAGTTGATTTAAGTGTCATCATTTATGATTAATTGGCTTTAATTGTTATCCAGCAGTCAACATCTATGTTTCAAGCCATGGAGTTACATTCCTGATGGAATCATGCCAGTTTTCTGGAGGGTAGTGTATTGGACATCGCAATTTTTAACATGGTAAGTGACAGTGAAAGATAAGCGTTTTAGAAACTTATCTAAAGTTAAAGAAATGGTGCTTTATTTTCTAATAAGAATTCATATTTAAATTTAAAATAAAGTGAAATTGTTACTGTCCTTAGATCTGCATCCTCTTCTCTTCTGCTGGCTCCAGTCCCGTCTTAAACAAAAGTGAAAATTAAAAAATAGCAAATGAAAGAAATAAAAGCCATAAAAACAAAAATTTTCTCATCAATATTCCCCTCCAGTTATTGGATTCTGTATCCTTTCTTCAGTCCAGACTTCTAGCCCCATTCTTACATGAAAATGCCAATGTCATCATTGCTGTGAGAGGCCATCAAGTCAGTTCTGATCGATAGCCACCCTATGTACAACAGAACCAAGAACTGCCAAGCTCTCTTGTTTAAAATAGAGGTCTATCCCTGTAAACTCTTGTTTCTGATTATATCTTCCACTTTCAATTAAGCATGCATAATCCTCTCATCCTATGTTACTCATCACAGCTAAATTGGGGTTGGGCTTTTACATTTAAATACAAATTCTTAGAGAAAAGTGAACGATTTTGTGGTTAGTCTGACATTTTCAAAGTGAGAATACTTATACAGCCACCACTCAGATGAAGATACAGACCATTACCAATGCCCCAGAAGCCTCCCTCAGGCCCCTTCGCAATTACTACTTCCTTGTAAAAGATGCTGTTGTTTTCACTTTCTTAGCCGTAGACTTGTTTACCTGGTTTTGAATTTCATGAACAAGTTGTACAGCATATACATTTTCTAATCTAGCTTCTTTGCTCACAGTTTATTTAGGAAATTCACCTGTGTTAACTGTTGTCATTTCTGTAAAATAGTCCAGTTTATAACTAGTCTGTGTTTATCCTGCCCAGACTTTTCAATGAATTAAGGATTTGGTGTCTCTATTTATGAGTTGCTTACTCCTCAACCCTGTTTTCTAATTCTACCCTGTTTTTTATTCCCACCCCTCTGTTCCCACTACCAAGCCCTTATTTACTTCACCTGAGTCAACATTTGATTATATTATGCTCATATTCTAATTTTAAATACTCTTTAGTCTCTACTCCATAAGTACTTGGTTTTCTTCTTAGCTTTCTGTTGTTCTGTTTAATGTTCTTTGCTATTCTCTACTCTTCTTTGAAAGTTGGTATTTCTCAATCTTTTCTCATTGTAAATACTAACCCTGCCCGATCTTAGGTATCTCAGCTACTGATGTTTTTTTATTCTCATTCAAATAGTGATGACCAGAATTTATCTGTAGTTCAAATCTTCTCGACTCACCTTGGGAGAAAGATGAGGCTGCCTACTTTTTACTCCAGGGAAGAGTTGTTGTTGTTGTTGTTGTTGTTAGCAGGTGCCATCGAGGCAGCTTCAGCTCACAGCACCTAATGTACCGGGAAGTCCTGCACCATCCTCACAGTGGTTATCTTTGATCCGTTGTTGCAGCCACTGTGTCAATCCATCTTCTTTCTCAAGGTCCTTCCTCTATTTTACTGCCCCTCTACCTTATCAGCATGATGTCCTTTTCCTGGGACTGGTCTCTCCTAATAACGTGTCCAGAGTACATTTGAGATGAAGTTTCACCATCCTTCCTTCTAAGGGCACTCTGGCCTTACTTCTTCCAACACAGGTCAGTTTGTCCTTTTAGCAGTCCATGGTACTTTCAATATGCTTCTCCAGCACCACAATTCAAACACTTTAATTCTCAAGTCTTCCTTATTCAATGTCCAACTTTCACATCATACAAGGCAATTGAAAATACTGTGGCTAGGATTAGGCACACCTTAGTCTTCATAGTAATATCCTTGCCTTTCAACATGTTAAAGAAAGTCTTATGAAGCAGAATTGCCCAATGCGTTAATTTCTTCTTGTGACTGCTGTTTCCATGAGCATTGATAGTGGATATAATCAAGATGAAATCCTTGACAACTTCATTTTTTTCTCCATTTATCATGATGTTAACTATTGGTCCAGTTGTGAAGATTATAGTCTTCTTTACATTGAGTTGTAATTCATACTGAAGGCTGCACAGCCAGTGCTTCAAGTCCTCACTTGCAGCAAACATGGTTATGTCATCTGCATATTATAGGTTGTTACTAAAGAGTTATAGCCTCAGAAACCCACGGGAACATTTCTTACTCTGACCTATAGGGTTTCTATGAGTTGGAATCAAGTCCATGGTAGGGAGTGTGGTTTGAGTTATGCTCAACCCTGAACTGGTCCACCAACCACTTCCAATGTAGCTCCTTCTGTATGTCCCCTAGGGTCTTTAAAATGTTGGCAAGTTCCTGCTTATTACACCTTCACCCTCTCCCAACTCATTCCCAATTTTATTCTCCCTCAAGGTAGTCTACATGGTACATCCTTATTAGTCTTTTTAAGGAGAAGACTCACTGCCATCAAGTCAATGCTAACCCCTAGGACAGGGTAAAACTGCCCTTGTGCGTTTCTGAGCGTGTAAATCTTTATGGGACTAAGACGCACCATCTACTAAGGAGCAGCGTTGAGTAACCACTGCACCACCAGGGCTCCTCCTTTCGAGAAAAGTAAAATTTTCTTAATGTTTATTTTTAAAAATCAATTTAATTCTTAATTTTAAAAATGCTCTTAAAGACCTTCAATCTTCCATTCTTCCTGATTGTTCTTTGGATGTCATCCAAACTCTTCAAAAAGGCTATAGAAGCTTTTGTTGGGACTCACTGTACGTCTCTAATTCTGCTGCTGGTGGCCATTGTGGCCTTCTTTGTTCTCCTCCAAGTTTAATATAGATAATATAGATAAGCCTGGCAGCATTTACTCAGCTTTAATATTTATTAGTGAAAAGAAATGCATATTAAAATTGAGATTTCATGTACGTAGGGTATTTTTTATTACGCACACATCAATTGTCTTATTTTGTGTAATCATGTTCTTTTTTGACCACTTAGGATCCTGTTGCCCTTCATGCAATCGTATGCAAGGTCAGGAGGGTTTTCCATCACTGGGAAGATCAAAACAGCTCTGATTGAGAATGCCATCTATTATGGCACCTATTTGCTGATTTTTGGAGCATTTTTAATTTATGTAGCTGTAAACCCACATTTGCACTTAGAATGGTAAGAAAATTAGTGTTCTTAACATTGTTCTGCATGTTTGCACTTTTAAAAACTCATCTCTATCTCACTTGTGTGGGTAAGTAGACTTTTTTTTCTTATTTAAATCATTTTATTGGGAGCTCGTACAACTCTTATCACAATCCATACTTGTATCCATTGTGTCGAGCACATTTGTACATTTGTTGCCATCATTATTTTCAAAACATTTTCTTTCCATTTGAGCCCTTGGTATCAGCTCCTCATTTTTACCCTTCTCTCTCCCTTGAACCCTTGACAATTTATAAATTATTATTATTTTGTCATTTCTTACATTGCCCGATGTTTCCCTTCACCCACTGGGCAAGTGGACATTTTGTCAAGAAACAGGCAAGTTATGTTTTATAGATTCCCTAAAACGATACCTGAATAATCCATATTACTAAGAAATAAATTATAAACATAGGTTCCCCAACTTATTTAGGCTACTGCCCCCCATTTTGGACGAAAAAATTACTTCCCGATGGTCATTAAAAACTTTTGTACTATTGCTCATAATCCAGGATTAAGTATAGGTATCTGCTTTTGTAGCCCCCCAACTGGATCATTTCAGCACCCTTCAGGGGACAGTATTGTCCACTTTGGGAAGCACTATTACAGAATGATATCCTTAAATCATCTTCAAAAAGTTCATTGAAAAATGGAATTGAAAAGTAATGGAATTTTTCCATGAACTTTTTAAAGCACTCTCATACAATCATTAGACAGATGACTAATACTTTGTTTAGTATCTTCCATTCTTCCTTGCTCTTTGGATGTAGTCCAAACTCTTCCAAAAGTTTTTGGAGGCTTTTCTTGAGACGCCTTATAAGGGACTCATTCAGATGCTGGTGGTCTTTGATGGCCTCCCTTGCTCCTATAATTTTTGGCATAGGATTTCACATTTTGTACATAATAAAGTGTCTTATTTTATTCTGATTGCTTTTCTGTGGGATTGAAATATTTTTTCCTCCTGTATTGGCCATAGTTTTGGAGCATATTTGTCTTTATTGTTCTCTTAAATTTAGACATGATCATAAAAGTGGTATCTGTATTATACTTTTAGTATCTCTAATGACTCGAAGACCTAGATTTAAAATTCAGGAGTAGCTCAAAACTGTATTTTGGAAGTTTGAGTCAACCTGCTTCAACATGAAGTAGTTTAAACTCTTTCAATTTTCAAACTTCTCTTGGTTAATTTGAAAAAGAGACCACTAATTGAAAAAAATGTGCATTCTTAGGGAAAATACATACAAAGGGACTTCCAAAAGTTCATGGAAAATTTCTCCTTTGATTCTCCCTTTCTACAAATGTTTTGAATGCTCCTTATACATATTTTTGCCATGAACTATCGTAGAGACTAATTTTAATTATAAAGGAATTAGTGTTTGATATGCACACATCAATTGTTTTATTTTGTTGAAACTTTTTTTTATGACCACCTGGGATCTTGAATTGAATTGATTCCAACTCATAGTGATCCAATAGGACAGAGTAGAACTACCCCTGTGGGTTCCAAGACTGTGAAACTTGTTGGGAATAGAAAGCCTCATCTTTCTCTCTCAGAGTGGCTGGTGGTATCAAACTGCTCAGATTATGGTTAACAGCCCAATGGGTAATGCACTGTACCACCATTCAAACACACAGTTTAGCTGCTGTTATTAAAAGAGTAGCTGAGGATTTGAAGGTCTGATCTATTATATCTAAATCCTAACCATTCTGTGGGGGCAGTTGCGTTCTGAAAAATCACCTAATATTATTTAGCCTCATTGTACATTTGGATGTAAAAATGGATCCCAGCATGCGACGTGCATTTTCTTTCTCAGGAACCAGCTGCAGACAATTGGGATAGCTGCTGCGAATACCTGGGGTCTGTTTCTTCTCGTGCTGCTCCTGGGATATGGCTTGGTGGAAATCCCTCGTTCATACTGGAATGGAGCAAAAAAGGGTTACCTGCTTATGAAGACTTATTTTAAGGCAGCAAAACTGATGACGGAGAAAGCAGATGCAGAGGAAAACTTAGAAGACATCATGGAGGTAAGTAAGTTTAAACCTTACAAGCAACAATCAGCACGTTACATGTGTTTTACCTCAAACACAATTTCTCTGATAGGCTCTACAATTCATTGCAGTGGCCACGCAGTACTCACAGACATAGCTTGCCATAATGGGGTTTATTGCAGAAGTTAATGGGCTACAATTCAAGTGGAAGTCCTCAGAATACAGTTGTTTAGTCAGGACATGTTACAAAATTCTTTTGGTTCTACTTAATGCCCAAAGGTAATGCCACTCCTCTGTAAGCCTCAACTCAAGGACGCTCCAGCTCCATGGGGTATTGAACCCAGCTCCCTAATTAAGTGTCCAGAGGCAGCCCACCCCACAAGCCAACCACCTGCCCAAAGGCATTCAAATCTACTTGCTCTGTGTTCTGGAAAGTCTACCATTCCGTCTCATGTTCTGGCTCCTGACTCTGCTACTGCTGCTTTTCTGGATCATGGAGGTTTAATGCACAGGGACTTCAGGGTCTAGAGGGCATGTCTACTGTTAGGTCTTGCTGGTAATGAGATTCCCCCATCCAACTGCTGAGAGGGCTCATTTTATATGCAGCAGGGATGACAATCACTGTGAAGTCTGTCAACAAGCACTCACAACTCAATTCTATCAGTATTGTCCCCTATCTTCTTCTACTCAAACCCATCAGGAAAAGTTCGATTGATCGGAGATACAGGGACCAAGGCTAGAAGAGCCACATGAAATATTCACTGCCCTGAGCATGATATTTTCTTCCCATTGTTTATTTGTCATTGTTGTTGATAATGTACTGATGGGCTTTAGCTTGGCAGTGTGTCATATGAAATCCTACAGGCCGACTCATCCAGAATGACTTCCTGTAGGTAGTTAAATCTCCTGAGTAGTCCTTTTTATCTTCTAAATGACAAAGACTTAGTGAGTCTATACTCAACAGTTAGGAGTTATGCCTATTGTCTTGTCTTGGGTTAATTTTTAATTGTGCCCCTTTTCATTCTAAAGAGAACCCTAGATTGTTGTTGTTGGGTACCTTAGAGTCAATTCTGACTCATCTCTCTGTGTCTGAAAGAGGAGAACTGCCCTGTAGGCTTTCTTTAGCTGTATGTAATCTTTGTGAGAGCACATCCAGAACTCTTCTCCCAAGGAGAAGCTGCTAGATTCCAACCATTGACCTTGCCGGTAGCACATTGTGCTTAACTGTTATGCCACCTGAGCTTCAAACTGTAGGTTATTTGCTAAATTAAGTGGTTACTCTGATAGAGTGGAAAATAAAGTTCTTCCTGAAAGTTTAGCCTAAAGTAATCTCACCAACTAAATATGGAAACTTTCAAGAATAATTTGCATAGGGATTGTGTATCAAGTTTTGTTTCCTGAATCCAAATGAATCATTGCAGTTTATTCTCTAATAAAATGGGGCTGTTCAAAAGACAAATTTCAATAAAGTCCACAAAAATTTAGACCAAATTTTGAAATGTTGCTACCTGAGATAATTGGGTTTTGGGTTTTATAAGAGGTTATTATAGGGACCTCTTATTTTTGCTCCTCTGTGAAAATAAATTACTTTCCAAAGTAAAGTCTCATATTGCAAGTTCCTTACTCCTGTTAGGGAAAAAAGCCTCCAAAATCTTTTAATGTAGCATACAAGAACATCGTTTGGCCCGTGTTTGGCTCTCCAGTCCTTTTAACCATGTCTTCCTCACATTGGTCGATTTTGGTTATTCAAACTTGCAAATAATGATGAAATAGCAGTTATGTAGACTTTTAGTCTTTGCCTAAGATTCAACTTTGGTTCTTCAGATGTACTAATGGAGATAATAGCAAACAGGTATATAGATTTACTAGTGGCCTAAGACTATTTAAATATTCTACATGCATTTAATGCGTTTAAAGGAGATATTTTCATTTCCATTTTTAAAAGCACTGAAAAAGTGAGCAATATTTCTCTGGTCACATAGTTAGTCAGTGGTAGATCCAGGCAGTCTAATTGCAGAGTTTATACTTTAACCAGAGTTTGACAATTTATGCCTGTAAAGGACCAGCTACTCAATATTTGATGCTTTGTTGATATGATCTCTTTCACAATTACTCACCTTTGTAATTATAGCATGAAAGCAG